GGGATAATTGCACGTTGCGGACCCAAAGGTCAGCCTGGCTTCCCTTCAATACCATCTCGAAGTAGACACCGGCAAGACCAGATGTGACACAGGCAGCAGAAACTGCAGCAAACCCTTTCAACGGGTTCATGACGTGTTTAGCCTGATCAACGAGAGTTCCCACGGTTTTTGCAGCGGCCTCAGCTACAGGATCGACGTGTGCAGCGGCGACCTCCTTTGCAGGCGCGGTAGATTGGATCTGAACGATGCCAACCCCAACAGCAAGGAAGAAAAGGGCAGTCCATTTGGCCTTGGACAACCGTTTCCGCAAGAGCATGACTGAGAAAGCCGCCGTTGTTAGGATTTTCATCTGATAAGTAACCTAACGAAAGGAATTGGAAGATGTTTTACGGCCTGTTCACATGCATACTTACCTGAAAGGTTGCAACGTCTAGGTTACTGGCCGCAACAAACTGCAAGTTGTTTTGGATGACATATAGAATCGCGGGAATCGAAAGCTTCCAGCAGTCCGGGCTGAAGACCTCGCGACCAAGACGACGGAACTTGCCCCAGAGCCGAGTGGCGAGAGAGGTAGACCGGCGCAATTGGGAGGTGACAACGCTGCGAACAGTTCCGGATCCTCCCCGACTATGTAAGCCTCGTCCCTGGGATTTCGCTTTGATCATCGGCGTTGTAGGAGAATCTTCATCCAGGTCACCAGCACCGGACATGAGTGGGATAGCGTCAGGGCGAGCTCCCTTGGAGGGCTGATCATCGATTCGGGCGAGAGCGATAAGCAAAGAAATCGATCCCTTCAGAAGCTCATTTAGCAGGACTGCTGATGCGGCAGAGTATGTCCGGTTAGCAGGAGTCGAGACCCGTGAGTAATGCATGATGATGGTAAGTGTCGCATTTTGTACGGCCAGGGTGACAAGCCTAGCTCGCACGTTGGTTAATCATTCCAAAATACATTAATTAAAAGGGACATACGACACATATTTCAACGGCATCCCAAGAAACCTAGGTGTGGTGTCAACATCCTTTGGGCTCTGGATCGGCGCAGGAGGCAAGAGACCGTGTGTCCCAACGGGCCTTGGTGAGCCGTTCATGAGGGGCGGAGATTTTTCTTGCGGGTAAGGCTGGAGGTTGTTGGTCGAAGACGGGGGGGTGGAGTACTGGTACAAGCCGTGTAGGGAAACGTTGGATGAAGTATGAGCGAGTGTGTTCGGCTGGCGGCGATGCAAATCGGTGTCCGGCGAGGCTGGGGAGCCACAAAAGTTCACGGATGACACCCTGTGCACGGAGGGATGATAATACGTTTTGTCGGGCACGGTGAGGCGGTGTGGTTACGAGCCATCCACGGCAGTGTTCCGATAAGAACCATGATGCGCAGTATAGAATACCCGGGGTATCCACAATTCAGCCCACGAAAAGAGGTCCCAGAGGTCAAGTAACGCGTTCGAGACCAAATGCCAAGCGGAAAAAAGTGTTTCAATGGTTAGCATGATTCGGATACGCAACTGAGGCACGGACGAAGCAGGAGCAAAGGGGGTGAGGAGAGCGCTCTACATCGCCACACGATACGTCGAAGGCGATGGCGGATGGAAAGGCCACCGACGGCCAAAAGGATACGAACATTTGTTTGTACTCGGGCAGGTTGCTCACCTGGACAGCCGGCGCTTTGGCTTGGACACTTCCTGGATACTAGTTGAAGCCACGTTGAGGAAAAAACGTCTCGAGACGCCTTCGAGGTAGCAGGGAGTGGTGGGGAATGTGCAAAACTATCGAATCCTACGAAGGAGGGGAAGGATATGTAGAATCCTGGTGACTGTGCTTTTAGCGCCCATTCCAAGGTTCGTCGCGGCAGCAAACAGCAACAAATACTGAAAATGCGAGATAGAAAATACCAGCGTGCCTGCAACAGTAGATTTTTTTTACCGTGGCCAATACATGTACTTGATCACCAAAGTGCGTTAAAAACAATACACCCAAGGCAACCTACGATTTGCAGAATATGTTAGTACCTGACAAGCACCCGTGTGGAGTTGAACACTCACCTGGAGAACCTATGTGCCAAATATCGATTGCCATGTGGCCCACTCGGTCTCTCCCACACGCCTAAGTTGCACTCGTTCTGCACCTTCCCCGAAATATGACGCTGCATTCCAAGCCGACAGCTCCGTCACACCGTAAGGACCATACACTGCGTCAGCTGACGCTTGCCCCCCGCTAGCTATCACATAGTCTGGCGCCCATCTATAGTCGTATTTGGCATCGGGGACCTGCGGGGGAGGCGGGTGCGGATCCCAGTCGGGGTCAACAATTCCAGATCGTCGAACGGAACGTAGCATTATCTCGTAAGTCGCCTCATAGACATCAGAGTCCCCCAGGGACATGAGTGTCGAAGCGAGGGATGTGACTCGGGTGATTGGGTTTTGCTCTGGTGCCTGCTTGCCCGCCACCATGCCATCGGCCGCCTGCGGTGCCACGTCGGTGGCAGCCTTTTTTTGAGACCGCCGCGTGCCTTTGGAGGATGCCCCAAGGCGCTGGAGAGTCTCGAGAACCGACTCGCCTTTCTCCATAAACCCAAGGAGCTCCTTCATGATATCCTCCTTCCCTCTTCCAGCCTCCTCGGCCTCCCGCCGCTCGCGCTCCTTCTCCCGAGTCTCCATCAATTTCTTGCTGCGTCTCGCCTTCTTCAACTCCCGGTCGTCCATACCCTCCATCCATTTGTCGTGAACAGCGTGAGGGTCAAACGACCGCACAAACGTGCCATCCTCCGCGAACTTGCCCTCTTCCATCTCCGCCTTCATGTTGAACGAAGACATCTCATACCCCATACCCTGCTTCTTCCTTCTCTCCGCATCGTCCTCGTCCTCGGGCTCGTCGTCACCGCTTGACCCGGCGTTTCCTGTTCGTCCAAATTCCTGCCCTTCAATATCTCCCAGCGCGAGATACTTGTCCTTCTTCTTCGCTCCCTTGTCGGCCTGCAATTTTGCCTTGTCTGGATCTGCCGCAGCGAACATGTCATCGTCGTCATCGTCATCCCCGGCCGCCTTCTTCTTGCGGCTCTCCACAACGCCTTCTCCATCGTCTGACGAATCGCTCTCGTAACCCTCGTTTTTCACTCCCTTGCGGGTGGAAACTGTCTCGAGGTTCTCGTCAACTTGCTCTGCGAAACTTTGTTCGTCGCCAGTGGTAGCAGGATCGACAGGGTCCGTGAAGCGTGTGCGCTTGGTGGAGGGACCAGCTCCGGCAGAGACAGCTCGTTTTGCTGTACGAGGCGGCATGGACTAGTAAATATCGCGTTACACGAATGCTTTATATCCCCGTATACATGTGTTCTCACCTGACTGCGGCCCTGTTTTACCGGCGTGTGGTATGACTGTGAACGCGAAGGTGTTCAGGCTTTGGGTCTTACGTCATCTGCGTGTTGGACAAGCGCCGGGAGCTGAGGCGGCTGGAGCGCATATACCCCAGCAAACAGCGCGAAAGGCGGTCGATTGCGTATAATTAGACATATGAAGATTGCGATACAAGCCAAAATAAGCTCTAGAACCCATTCAAAAAACAAACAGCACAAGAACTCTGCCCCCCTACTATTCAGAGGGTTCCCAGTCCCAGCTACGATGCACGCATGTAGGGGGTGCGGATACCGAAAACCGCACCTGCGGTTGATCGAAACCGCAGATGTGGCGTTTCAAAAAGCCGCACCTAACCTGCGGACTATCCGTAGGATCTGGGTTCATAGTGATGATCGTACTGGCCGTATGTCCCAAACAAACGAGTCCTCGCGTTGGAATACCCTGGTTCGACGAGTGCACGTATTCAATATCCCGACGCCCGCGACCATCTTCGCCCCACTAATCCGCCGCTTGAAAGGAATAAACAGCGGAGGGAACTTGATCCTGCCGCTGTAACGGTGCACACAGTCGCATGGAGATGAGACAGGCGGGGAAGCTATTGAGCTTGACGTAGAAAGTGGTGATGTCGAATACTGTCGTTCGTATTGTCGGACAGTGCTCTCAAAAGCATCAGGTGGGGGGCATTCGATGCGCTTGGGTAGGTGTCCTGTCATTCGAGAGCTAGATTCTTGAGTATCGGGGTGCCGAGGACCTGAAATGCATCGCCGCTTTCTCGGTTTGTCTTCCCGGTCGTCTTCTGCAAACAGTCTGAATATAGCATCAGATCAAACGTATAGAACGTCCGAAAGTTGTGCTCACGTTCTTCGCACGCTGTGTGCCTCCTCAAGTGTGCGCGCTATTGACAATGTCAAGGTGGGGTCGAAACTACGAGCAAACTAAACACACACCTTGGTATGATTTGGGTGGGATATTAAAAGGCGCATTTTCTAGCAAGGGTACCAACACATTATGACAGGTGATATATATGAGGTTTCTGAAATACGGGTAGAGAGCGCGGCAACCATGTTGATCTTGGAGTGTCATAGGTGGCAAGTCATTGTGAACGAGGGGGCTCATGATGAATATTGAAAAGGTCCTTGATAATTGAAATGCCACCAGGGCGAGAAGTAGCAAAAAGAGAGTCGATAAAGTCTGCCTAGTGGATTCGAGCACCTGCAGTTAAATGGGGACCGGTGGTGGCCCAGGTGGTCCAAATGCGCGGGAGCTAATGGACCACATCAAGACCTAGCCATTGTTCAGCATATTTTAGTGTTTACAAAAACAACAGTATCACCCTGTACGTAGACCCGCAGTGTTCTGGCCGTACCAGCTTTACTTCCAAAAACGCTGTCCTTTATGCGACGTGGTTGGTTAGCGCTTATCCTACCATGCCGGTCTCAATCGCCAGCCTCCATGTCCATTGTTCAGCAAGTAGGGTGACACTGGCGGGCTCCATGCAATTAGGTCAATCGTGGCCACGAACGAACCCACCTTGCTCCACTCCCAAGTACTTTAGCAAGGGATTTAAACCAGAGCAAAATAAATAAAAATGCTTAAAATACGGGGCTACTTTTCTAGCTCGCAGTTTACTGCGAACTGAAACCAACGCTAAAAGCCTACGTCGGGAGGGAGTCGAACCCCCGCCCCTTGCTGCCTCGACAAATGGAAGGCAAGGATGATAACCGTTTCACCACCGACGTATTGATATCCATATCTGATTTTCTCTGGAGGTACGGAGCAGCTTAGTCACACAAGTGCACCCTTAGAGTGTTGCCTAAGCGCCGAGCCCGCCGCAGGCGCTAGTTAAACTGAAAGCCAAAACGGTAGCATATCGGGAAGGAACTCGCGTTGGTACCACCAAACATTGCAGAACAGCCATATTTACCTTTGAGCGTAAAATAGATCTGTTCATGCCTGAGTTCAGGCGAAGACGCATTGAATCGGTGATTTGGCCAGCACGGCAGCGGCTTTAGAGTACTGAGCTTCGCGTATAGTTAGTACACGACGACGAGGTACTCCGGTAGTAGGTTTTTGTTTCTCGCAGGTTGCGATCAACCACAAGTATCATATAGCAAGGACGTGCGGCTACATCAAGGTCGATGATCCCACCCAAGCTCTCACAAAGACCGCCAAGAACGCAAGGGATTATGGTGTAGCAGGCCATTCACACAACCAGAGATATAAGATATTGGTGTTGAATTAAAACAAGTACAGGCGATTAATATGTCTCAACCATGTACAGTGTTGTTTTCCGAGATTTGAGCTTCTGTTTTTATGTGACTTGTGGCAGAGTTCTGCTTTGCCATACTAATTAGCTCGATATGTCGCCACGCCGGGCCAAAAATAAGTTAGAGGAAGCGAGGGTGCCTTGGTGTGCTCGTGAAGCCTAGTACTAGCGACATGCTCGACAGGTGGGGCAGTTTCAGACAAGCGTCGGGTTGTATTTGGGCGTGTTTATATCTCATTGAGCATGCAAGCGAAAACGGCAAAGTTCGTGCGCATGTATCAGACGATGCCCGGCAGTCTTGCAGTAGGGGGGTTCTGCAGTGCTTATGGTCTAGTTCGTGGGTCAAGGTGAAATTTGGGCACTCGTTGGAACAACTAAAGGAATGTAGAAAGAACGTTCGAGTGACTCCCGTTCGGGCAGAAATCGCACTCAAGTTAAAGCCGTGTGCCAAAATGGTGATATTTGTATTTAATTTAAATCCTTGAATTGCGGTTGTTATATCTAAATCGGTCACGCCCTCTCGTCCACCTCTACGCCTCCGACCTTTCCAATCCCCTCACCTTCCTTCTTTCCACTCCCACCAAACCCAAACCTTCCTCCCCACGCCTTGGCATTCTTCTTCCGGTCTCCCTGCCCAAACTCGGCATTCCACTTGCGCAAATCGGCGAGCGTACCGAGTGCTTCAGACGCAGAGGGCGTGATCTCTTTGAGGGCGCGTGCAATGTGGCGTTCGGAGAGTATTCGGGAGGGCAGGTCGGCCGTAGCAGGGCTTGCACTGGGCTCCGGTCCAGCCGCTGGTTCCGGAGCGACGGGGGTTGTGTCGGGTACGGGTGCGCCCAGGCTCGTCGTGTCTGGGGCGGCCGTCTTGCTCGGCACATCTACCGTGGTCGCCCCCGCCTTCTTTCCACCAGTCTTTCTCCATGGCAGCTCTACATTCTCCTTTACAGCATCCAGCGCAGCTGCCACGACTAAGTCTGCCCGTACAATAAGCAGAAGCCTACAACCCAAAATAGGTAGACTTACTCTTTAAATCACTCCCACTGAATCCCTCAGTCCTCTTCGCAAGCCCCTTTACGTCTACATCTGGGTCTAGATTCTCCCCGCTCAACATAATCCCCAAAATGGCTTCGCGTTCGTCCAGTCCAGGCAAGTCGATCAACAACCGACGGGGCAGGCGCCTGAGAACTGCGTCGTCGAGATCAAACGGCCGGTTCGTTGCTCCGACCACCACGACATTGGACGAACTCGAGGAACGGAGGCCGTCCATTTCTTGCATAAACTCGGTGATGAGGCCACGGTGGGCTGATGCGGCACCACCAACATCTCGGGATGAGCGGGCGCCGAGAAGTGCGTCGATCTCGTCGAGAAAGATGATGCAGGGGGAAAGACGACGGGCTAGGGAAAAGACACTTCGAACGAGCTTTTCGCCTTCGCCGACATACTATCATTGCGCCAAACAAATCAATCAACAAAATTCGTTATAACGGCAGCTGGACTTGCCATGTCCATCACATCAGACGGTTTCACGAGCATCATGTGTGCCCCGCTCTCCTTTGCCAACGCTTTAGCCACAAGCGTCTTGCCCGTCCCTGGTGGGCCAAATAGCAGTGCCCCAGTCATCGCGTGCTGAGACAAGATCCCGGATCGGAACGCAGCAGGGTAGAGCAGAGGGAGCGAGACGAGCGTGCGCACGCTGTCGATCGTCGCGTCAGGGAGGTGAACCTGTGCAAACGTCGTTTCAAGTTCGGCTGGCCCGATATTTTAGGTCAAGCTAGCTGGGGATGGGAAGGAAGCTTACCCGGGTTTACAATACACCCCAGCAACCTCTCTTCATGTGTTTCCAAATCAGGATCGTTCTTGATCTTTTCTACTAGCTCGTCCACAGTATTTTGGCCAGTCGCCGCGGGGGCCTTTCCAACCCCGGACCCAGTAGGTTCTTGATGCAGCGCCGCATCAATCCACTGCACGGGCTCCTTTGGCGAGCCAATCCCGCTCCATTTAGCAGCGGAAGGTGTAGGAGGAGGGGTGGGTGCTTCGTCTGGCTTTTCGGCCTTTCCACCTTCCTGTCCGTACCCTAGTGCAAGTCTGAGTGTGTCCCACGCTGTGCGTACTGCGTCCCACGAAACGGCTGTTGCAACGGGCAGGCCAGGTCCAGGTTCTTCTACCGCGGCCGACGACGGGGGAGGTATTTGTATGTCTGCGTCTGTCGCGCTCGTGTCTATGCCGTCGGGGGAAGCGAGGACCGCACACGCGAGCGCACGGTCCGCCAGCCGTCTAGCAGACGGCCAGTCTAGGACCCGCTTTGGCCAGTCGTCTGTCATCCTTTCGGCCGGGTCGGCTTTTGGGGGCAAGTCTTTTTGTTCGCTGGCCTTTTCATCCGTATCTTTCTTTACCGTCTTGGAACTCTTCGCTGCCCCCGTAGTGGGCAATCCGACAACCCGCCCTCCAACAGCCCCAACCGCCATCTTCACCACCAAGGTGTTTACCTCGGCCCTCCTCGCCTTTCTCGACGCTCGCTCCCTCGCCTCATCTCTCACAGCTGGTACCACACCGCACACCCTGAAATATCCGTTCTTGTTCCCCGTCCCGACGCTCGCACCATCATTTGCCTTGGTTTCAGCATTTTCACCGGCCGAGCTCGGGTGCGGACCGAACACACTTGTAAAACCATTGGTACTCATGAATCCGGCGCGTTGCGCTGGGGGTGACCCTGGGACGGAGAAGGGAGGCAGGTCATCCAGGATCGAGCCCGAGCAAGACCATCGCTTGAGTCGGTCGCGGAGTCGTCTAGCGCGGTCGTCTACTGGTGGGGGCTCGGATTGGCCAGTCCTGATGCGGACGCCGTTGCGCTGGTTCATGAGCATGTTCATGATGCCCGCTGCGGCTGAAGACATCTGTGAGGAAGGGGATGGAGAAGCCGGGGGCGGTTGCGAGGTAATGGATGGCGAGACTCCCAAAATAAGGGTGGTTGGATTTTGGACAGGGTGCGAGGGCCGGAGGAGGACGCCTTGACGTCTGGACCGAATGGCTGCGAGGAGAGCTGGGTACCAAGTTTGTGCAGAGGGAGCAAGCAACGAAAAGTCACGAATGTAGACAATGCGCGGGCGGTTGGGCACCTGGATGATAGAAGCACCTGGGGAAGGGGCATTGATGAGAGATTCGAAGAAAACTTTAAGCTCTGACTGGCCAGTTGGCACGTTACGGGAGGGCGAAGAGGCGGGGGCGAAGGGATTGGGTGACCGAAGGCGAACAGCACGTATGGGAATAAGGGCGGAAACGTTGCCCATCATGATACGCGGACCATTATCCTCTTCTTCGTTCTCGTCCATGTCTTCATCATCGTCCATCTCCAGCTCTTCAGACATGCTACGGAGGGATCCAGATGGGGAAGACGTAAAATGCAGTGGATTGTGCTGAAACTTGAGGACGGAGGCAGCTGCAGAAGCGAGTAAGACGATATACATGAGGAGGATTCAAGAACATACCTTTACCAAAACTCCCATGCTCGCCTGCTGCGAGCTGAGCCGCGTCGATCACTATAACATCTGCTTGGATTCGGCTCGCGAGCTCCTTTACTGTGTCGTCTATGACGTGCTGCAGCGCCTGGGTAAGCGCAAGGCAAGAGAGCCAAGCAAACGACTCACGTCCCCGCCTTCGATGGGGCAATAGAGCGCCATAGTAGGTTCGACAAGCGGGCTACCACCAGGGCCAACGTACGCCGCACGGTACTGCGTCTGCGGCTGAATCGTGACAAGCAACTGCGCAAGCGCGTCTTGCAGCATATCATCGGGTGGCAGGGTGCGAGTCTCGTCGAGCGTCGGCCCGCTCCATATTACGTCTGGCCCGACGGCTGCGCGTACTGGTGTGGGCGGTGGCGGCGGCTTGTTTGGCGCTCCTGCGGGTCTCCCAACGCGTTTCTTGGGCTTCTCGATATCTTGTGCATTGTCGGGGTCAGCTTTGGCGCTGGCGACTACACCGGGCGCGTCCTCGGCGGCCTGGGCATACCACCGCCGGGGATAGTCGGGAGGTGCCTTGCGGGGGAGACAGGAGGAGGCAGATGAGGAGAACGGCGTAGACGCCTTTACAGCTGGCCCGAGCGCGCGCGATGTGAGGGAGCGGCGGGCGACATTGAGGGTGCGCATTGAAGGGAACGAAGAATGAAATGGGTGACATAAGCTGGTGACGTAAGGGCGCTAAGGCAAGCGCCGTGATTATAGGTCGCACGCTCTCGGCAGCCGTGCTTGACGTTGACCGTGACACGATGCGGCGAGCTCGCTCTGTGGGTGCTTCTCCTCGAGTAGACCGCGCGCAACTCGATCGCCGGCGCCGCGGCTCTGACATTGTCGATGGCAAGCTTGCGCTCGACCTCGCCACGCACACCTACGACGAGAATGTCTATCTTTTTGTCCCCAATATCATCGGTGAGCCACGTCTGCTTCTGCTTTTGGCAGCACGAGTTAACATTCGTCTAGG